AGGAGATTGATAGACAATTGGGGGATTCGAATACCTAATCAAAGTTGTCAGGTAATCCTATGGAGTCTATTAAGAATAAATATTTGAAATTAATAGAAAAGGACGGACACTTAAGATTTTAAATAAGGATCAATATGATTATTTAAATGTGAAAGTTTCAAAAATCCCCGTGTTCTACACCCTCCCTAAAATCCATAAAATAATATAAATCCACCGGGTAGACCGATAGTGGCTGGGGTGAATTCCCTATTGAGTCGGCTGTCTGAATATATAGATAGACTGCTGCAACCAGTAGTCACTTCACGACCTACTTATCTTAAGGACTCTTCCCATCTCATTAGAGAATTACAAAATATAACATGGGAGGAGGGTTACATATTGGTAACCTGTGATGTCAACAGTTTGTATACTATTATTCAACATGATTTAGGGTGTGATTCTGTTAGACATTTTTTATCAGACAGTTCAGTTCCAGAAACTCAAAGAGATTTCATTGTGGAGGGTATCCAACTTATTCTACAGAATAATTTTTTTGGGTTTGAAGGTTCTTATTATTTACAACTGATTGGGAATGCGATGGGGACCAAGTTCGCACCAGGTTACGCCAATTTGTTTATGTCCTTCTGGGAGGAATCTTTCCTCTCAGGGGATGTATCTTGGAGTGCGGATTTGGTCCTCTATCGCAGGTACATAGATGATATTTTTTTTATCTGGAAGGGGGGAGAACAGCACCTTATTTTATTTCTTCAATTTTTAAACAATAATTCTAGGAACATTACCCTTTCTAGTGAACATAGTATTTCCCATGTTAATTTTTTAGATTTAGTAATTTATATAGAGGATTCTTGTATTAAAACAAAAACGTTTTTTAAACCGGTTGATGTCAATAGTTATATTGACACAACCAGTTGTCACCATGCTCCTTGGATTAACAACATGCCAAAAGGACAGTACATACGAATGTTGAGGAATTGTACTGATCCTCACCAATTTGACATCCAAGCGGATACACTAACTTCGTTTTTTAAAGAAAAACATTATGACCCTATAGTCTTAAAAGAACAAGTTCATCAGGTTAAAAGTATGAAGAGAATCGAGGTACTTAAATATAAACCAAAGAAAGACACAGCAATAGGGGAAAAAGAATGTGTACCTCTGATTCTGGATTATAATGTTAATTCTAAACAAATTAAACATATAATCAATAAACATTGGCATGTTCTGAAAACAGATGAGGACCTTAAAGATATTATAAGCGATAAGCCGAAGGTTATCTTTAAAGGTGCTAAAAATATTAAAGATCATATAGTTAAAAGTTTCATAAATTGTAAACAGGGAGACAAAAACGTTTTTAATCAAAAACCAGGTTTTTACCCGTGTAAAATGTGTTTACCGTGCAAAAACACTACCTTTAAGAAAGATACACAAATTACGTTTAAGTCTAATGTCACAGGAACCTGTTTTAAGATACGTGATATTGTTACATGCCACTCTACTAATGTGGTGTATCTCCTCTGGTGTCCCTGTGGGCTCCAGTATGTGGCTTATGACTACCAGAAGTTTGAAAACCCGCATTATGGAGCACATGGGGAACATACGGAGGGGATACACCAAACATAGTGTATCAGCACATTTTATTGAACATCATAATGGTGACACTTCTCTTTTAAGTTTTATGGTGATTGGGAAAAAGCGGATAAATTGGAGAGGAAAGGATAATGTCCGAGAATTAAGTAAATTAGAGGGCAAATGGATTTTTACCTTGGACACTATGTGCCCTAAAGGTCTCAATATAGATTTTGAATTAGTCCATTTTTTATAAATTTTATAATATTTATATATTTTACATGTATTGTGTATTAGATAGTATATGTTATCTATATATATATTTTTATAGTTTCTATTGGATTTTTTATTATAAAAAAATTCTTTTTTGGACATTTTCTCCCTCTTTAATATTCTTTTGGTTTCACTTATTAGGTTCTGTGTTTTGTGAATATCTATGTACCTATTCATTAATTCACAGTTTGTTATCTTCTTCATTTTTACATTATGTTTGATTAAGCTTGTTTGGGCATATGCCCTTTTCCAATATGGACATCTTTGGGACTATTTCCACCATGCTCGAGCGTGGAACGCATGGTGGAACGCAAAAGCATCACGTGACCGCATCTAACCGGAAGTCACATGCGTTTTGCCGAAACCGGAAGTGGTATGATCGGCGGCATTTCGGAATTACAGCTGGATCCAGTTGAACACATCAAGGGGGCTATTTAAGCCCTGAAGTTTTTCCAGGAATTTAGCACTGAGGAAGGCCCTATCAAGGGCTGAAACGCGTTTGCACTTTACTGGACTTTTTTGATTGGGACTTTTTCTATTTGGCGGTATTATTTTATTGTTTATATGTTGTAGTGTTCTACTACTTTTACTTTTTGGCCATAATTGCGGTGCAATACTGTACTATATTCTATTACTATACCTGCCTTGTCCCTAGATATTCATATTTTCTTTTAATATTTTATTATTATTATTCAATAAATTTGCATCTACATTTGTTATCGTAGACCTCGAGTTCTTCAACAGGAGTTTATCGAGAGCCTGAATAGGCACCCAAGGGTGATGTACATAGAGCCTATCAGGCTCCATTTTTGTGAGTTTAATCCTCATATATTATAGATTGTTTGTTTTAACTTAGATGGAAAGCACTATGTATGTTCCATTTGTTTTACAGATGTAATCACCATAACTACATCTACAATAGGTGGTATACCTATTTTGTATATATTCTGTATATATTTTTGAGTGTGTGTGAATCTATCTAATCTTTCTACATTACTGGGAGTATTATTGCTGTGGAGCTCTGTTATACACTCAGACACATTACTGGGAGTATTATTGCTGTGGAGCTCTGTTATACACTCAGACACATTACTGGGAGTATTATTGCTGTGGAGCTCTGTTATACAATCAGAAACATTACTGGGAGTATTATTGCTGTGAAGCTCTGTTGTTCACTCAGACACATTACTGGGAGTATTATTGCTGTGGAGCTCTGTTATACACTCAAACACATTACTGGGAGTATTATTGCTGTGGAGCTCTGTTATACATTCAGAAACATTACTGGGAGTATTATTGCTGTGGAGCACTGTTATACACTCAGACACATTACTGGGAGTAGTATTGATGTGGAGCTCTGTTATACACTCAGACACATTACTGGGAGTATTATTGCTGTGGAGCTCTGTTATACACACAGACACATTACTGGGAGTATTATTACTGTGGAGCTCTGTTATACACTCAGACACATTACTGGGAGTATTATTGCTGTGGACCTCTGTTATACACAGTCAGACACATTACCGGGAGTATTATTGCTGTGGACCTCTGTTATACACAGTCAGACACATTACTGGGAGTATTATTGCTGTGGAGCTCTGTTATACACTCAGACACACCAACAATACAGAGATGCTAGAAAAGAGGGACAGAGGGATCTAGGCCCAAAATAGGGACTTTCTCTCCTAAATAAGGGCACTTGGAAGGTATGCTCTGGACAGACGGAAATCTGGTCTACATTCAGTGCCTGGATTTTGCATCCTGAATGCCCACGGATGGTATTTGATTATTTTAGTTATACCGACCATAGACATTAAGAGCAACCACATGCATTCAGACTTCACCCTGTTTGTGATCTACAGAGCGATTCACTAAGTGATGATTTAAAGTAAATTTGAATTTAAGGTCAGAGTAGTCGAGCTGGATGCATTCTCTATGTCAGTTATGTGTTTCATTCAGCTACTCTGGTCTTAAATGTTAAATTCACTTTGAAATACTCTGAATTCTCACTTCAGTAAATAACCCTACTATTGTTTCTCCATTTTTTCTAAAGCAAGCTCTTTTACCACACCTATTCTCCCAAGCATCAGCCCTGGCAGGGTCATTCACCGATTGGGAAATGGATATTTTAGATGAAAAAAACCAACAAACAGGACAAATTAACCAGTTTGGCTATTTCAGCATTACATTTGCAATACTAGGTTTAGTCTCTTCTCCCAATTACTTCAAAGATGTCTTGATTGACACATTGCAAAAACAGGCTGAACTTGATGGGCGCATGTCTCCTTTCCGACTATGTAACTATGTAACTGTGTAACTGTGACTGTGTAACTGTGTAACTGTAACTGTGTAACTGTAACTATGTAACTGTGTAACTGTAACTATGTAACTGTGTAACTGTGACTGTGTAACTGTGTAACTGTAACTATGTAACTGTGTGACTGTGTAACTGTAACTATGTAACTGTGACTGTGTAACTGTAACTATGTAACGCTGTAACTGTGACTGTGTAACTGTAACTATGTAACTAACTATGTAACTGTGTAACTGTGACTGTGTAACTGTAACTGTGTAACTGTAACTATGTAACTGTGTGACTGTGTAACTGTAACTATGTAACTGTGACTGTGTAACTGTAACTATGTAACTGTGTAACTGTGACTGTGTAACTGTGTAACTGTAACTATGTAACTATGTAACTGTAACTATAACTATGTAACTGTAACTGTGTAACTGTAACTATGTAACTATGTAACTGTAACTATGTAACTGTAACTGTGTAACTGTAACTATGTAACTATGTAACTGTAACTATAACTATGTAACTGTAACTGTGTAACTGTAACTATGTAACTATGTAACTGTAACTATAACTATGTAACTGTAACTGTGTAACTGTAACTATGTAACTATGTAACTGTAACTGTGTAACTGTAACTATGTAACGATGTAACTATGTAACGGTGTAACTATGTAACTGTAACTGTAACTATGTAACTATGTAAGCTCTTTATTGACCCCTTTCAGTCTGGATTCCACTGCAAACACTCAGAAAACAAACAATCCACTTATATAAAGTGGCAGATTACTTGATCCTTCTTAATTTAAAGGAGCCACTTCTCTAGCCTTCTGCTTGTTGACCTTTCACATGTTAGTTCCTATTCTTCACACCGGTGATTTGTGAGAGGGCACTCTCTTGTTGCAGGATTCTTAAGAATTTGGTTGTGTTGTGGACATATACCTTTAACTGGTATCCTACTTACAAATTCCAGAGCATGGGTCTGCTCTGTGTGTGCTCTGGATCTTCTCTGTGTGTGCTCTGGTTCTGCTCTGTGTGTGCTCTGGATCTGCTCTGTGTGTGCTCTGGGTCTGCTCTGTGTGTGCTCTGGATCTGCTCTGGGTCTGCTCTGTGTGTGCTCTGGATCTGCTATGTGTGTGCTCTGGGTCTGCTCTGTGTGTGCTCTCGATCTGCTCTGTGTGTGCTCTGGATCTGCTCTGGGTCTGCTCTGTGTGTGCTCTGGATCTGCTTTGTGTGTGCTCTGTGTCTGCTCTATGTGTTCTCTGGTTCTGCTCTGTGTGTGCTCTGGTTCTGATCTGTGTGTGCTCTGGATCTGCTCTGTGTGTGCTCTGGTTCTGCTCTGTGTGTGCTCTGGATCTGCTCTGTGTGTGCTCTGTGTCTGCTCTGTGTGTGCTCTGGATCTCTGCTCTGTGTGTGCTCTGTGTGTGCTCTGGTTCTGCTCTGTGAGTGCTCTGGATCTGCTCTGTGTGTGCTCTGGTTCTGCTCTGTGTGTCCTCTGTGTCTGCTCTATGTGTTCTCTGGTTCTGCTCTGTGTGTGCTCTGGTTCTGATCTGTGTGTGCTCTGGATCTGCTCTGTGTGTGCTCTGGGTCTGCTCTGTGTGTGCTCTGGGTCTGCTCTGTGTGTGCTCTGGTTCTGCTCTGTGTGTGCTCTGGATCTGCTCTGTGTGTGCTCTGGATCTGCTCTGGGTCTGATCTGTGTGTGCTCTGGGTCTGCTCTGGGTCTGCTCTGTGTGTGCTCTGGGTCTGCTCTGTGTGTGCTCTGGATCTGCTCTGTGTGTGCTCTGTGTCTGCTCTGTGTGTGCTCTGGTTCTGCTCTGTGTGTGCTCTGGGTCTGCTCTGTGTGTGCTCTGTGTGTGCTCTGGTTCTGCTCTGTGTGTCCTCTGTGTCTGCTCTGCTCTGGATCTGCTCTGTGTGTGCTCTGGTTCTGCTCTGTGTGTGCTCTGGATCTGCTCTGTGTGTGCTCTGGGTCTGCTCTGTGTGTGCTCTGGGTCTGCTCTGTGTGTGCTCTGGATCTGCTATGTGTGTGCTCTGGGTCTGCTCTGTGTGTGCTCTCGATCTGCTCTGTGTGTGCTCTGGATCTGCTCTGGGTCTGCTCTGTGTGTGCTCTGGATCTGCTCTGTGTGTGCTCTGGTTCTGCTCTGGTTCTGCTCTGTGTGTGCTCTGGATCTGCTCTGTGTGTGCTCTGGATCTGCTCTGTGTGTGCTCTGGTTCTGCTCTGTGAGTGCTCTGGATCTGCTCTGTGTGTGCTCTGGTTCTGCTCTGTGTGTCCTCTGTGTCTGCTCTATGTGTTCTCTGGTTCTGCTCTGTGTGTGCTCTGGTTCTGATCTGTGTGTGCTCTGGATCTGCTCTGTGTGTGCTCTGGGTCTGCTCTGTGTGTGCTCTGGTTCTGCTCTGTGTGTGCTCTGGATCTGCTCTGTGTGTGCTCTGGATCTGCTCTGGGTCTGATCTGTGTGTGCTCTGGGTCTGCTCTGGGTCTGATCTGTGTGTGCTCTGGGTCTGCTCTGGGTATGAGCAGGCCCATGCTCTGGAATGTGTAAGTAGAATACCTTTATTTTATCACAGATAACATAAGATATATAGCACTATTGGTCGCCTTTCTTTGCATTTCATATATTGCTGCACTACTATGTGGGGAACATGTGGTTTCCCTGATTACAGTTTAACCTTAGACGGGGATTGTAGCGTCCATGTTGAAAACTCTTGAGCTTTCAATAGCTCCATAAAGTGTGAGTGTGTTTTTGAAACATCTACCAAACTTCTATATTGTATTTTCATATTGCACTATTATCTGTTTTTATATTTTTATTCTTTAAGCCTGATCTCATACTGCATATGAAGACCCTCGACAGGCTACATGTATGTATATGTGTATAGGCGTGGTTACACATCCTATGTTCTACTGGGAATTGCAGAGACCTGACAAAGGAATTATGGATTACGTACCAAAATATTTGAACTAGAAAAAAATCTGACATTTGTACAGCTTGGCTGTTTAGCTCCTTCGTTATTTAGAGAGTTCTCTAATCAACACTCCAAAATGTCCAATTTAGTGAATACGTCCCTTTAAAAAAAAAAAAAAATCAATTTAAAACCTTAAAATTAATAATTTATCTAGAATGGCTTAGTTGCTGGTTATTTTTGAAAGAGATTAAGATGGAAGAGTAACAGAGACCTCTTACTGATTGATTACATTATGCATAGTATTTTAAAATATTAAAAACGTCCAAGTTTAATGACGTCTATGAATTCTTCATCATTTTCTCAGAGTCTGAGGCTGGCATCCCGCTCTCCACGTTTATAAATTCACTGTCTGAGCAACATCAAAGCTTTGATTTACATAGTTTGACAGGACATTTTACAGCTTAATCCCACCATTTTATATTGATTGCTCTTGGAGACATACGATATCTCAGTCATTTTAGTACTGTCTTCAAGGCATATCTGACACATAACAGACACCATGTCTTCAGTTTAAAGTCTGCGATAGTCATTTAAAAAAAACTTTTTTTTTCGCAAAGGCGTAACAGCTTGTGACATTTTCCAGTGTTTCTCTAATTTGCAAAAAAAAATGGCACTAATCAGTAGGTTTTTTTGGTTACTAAACAGTGAACTAACAGTGAATTAAAAACAAAACTGTTAAAATTACAAGTCAAAATAACCAGAATGGAAACATATCTGAATTGTAGATTTTTTTTCTACTTGGCTAATTTGCTGTAAATTTGTTTTCGCATTCTCCCCAAATGAATGTTTAGTAAATTAACCCCTATTGTCTTTACTGAATATCCTGCAGTAGTTTTATAAGTCACCTATGATGAGTGTGAACTCAAAATGGCCATCATGGTTCTTGTAAGAATTAAATGTTGCCCTTGAGATAGGTCTGTATATTATTCACTAAAAAAGTTATTCTGAATTTAAATCTGAATTAAAAATTTCATGTGAAAATACAAAAGAGTTGGAGGCTTTCCCAAATCAGATCTTAGTTCACTCCAGTTTGGTGTTTGATGGACAAATACCTTAGAAATATTCCTCAGCAATAACACGTTCATATTTCAAAATGGTGGCAGCTAAATACTGACATTTCAGAAGCATTGGCTTTAACTGAATAGGTAGAAAAAGGGTTACTCCTACCACCGTGACCACTTCAGTGAATTGAAGTGGTCATGGTGGGAGGAGCATGTAAGTGCAGTGTTTCAGTTTGAAACACTGAACATACAGAGTTAATTACATGTGACATTTGCAGCTCAGAACCTGTTCCAGGCTGCCCAATGTCAATTCTGTGCATATTTTGAATCTGTTGTCCGCTCACACAATACTCTGGAGAGTCCTCCCTCCCACACTGTTGGCGTTCCTTCCTGCCTCCCTCAGTTGAAGAACTAGGAGAAATTCTCTCTCCCTCCTCTTTCCCTCCCTTCTCGCTGGATCAAAGCACGCACATGCGCTCTGAGCTGGCGAAACGATCCAATCACAGGATTCTCTCTCTCTCTGTCTTTTTCTCTATCTCTCTATCTATATATATTTTATAATTAGCTAATAATAGGTGATTTGGGCCTTAATCTAATATTTTTGGATAAACTGTTCAAATGATTTAATGTTTTTGATAATTTTTAAATTATTTAAAGGGACACAATAGTCACCACAACAACTACAGCGTAATGCAGTTGTTCTGGTGTCTACTGCCTGCCCTGCAGGCATTTTAGTGTAAACACTGCCTTTTCAGACAAAACACAATGTTTTACATTACTGCTTAGGAACACCTCCAGTGGCCATCACCTGAACTAAGAATTCTGCCTTTGTCCATTTTATCCAGGATTGCTTCTTGTAGTACTTGTTTATGGAAATGTTTCAGTCCTTTGTCCAGTTTGATTGCTAACTCCATATTCAGACCGCAGTACTCTGTCCTCTTAGCCTCATGTTACATCCCTCTGACCATATATCTGGAACTATCTGTTGCCCTAGTTCCAATCTTTCACGCTCCCCTTGAACTTTCTATGTGATTATGAATTAAAACTCATTAACGGAACACCCTAAACACCAGATCCATTACATCTTAATATAGTGGTTTTGGTGCAAAAAGCAGTCCCCGACACCCGTTTTTTTTTCTTTTTTCTTTTTTTAAATACTACTACAGAAAGACATGGTAAAAATGTTGAAACTGATTTTCCCTATGTACCATTTGTACATACAAATCATATATATGGGCAACAATACGATGTATTGACACCCATGCCCAAAATGAACCCCTCTGACCATATCCATATATGGTAGTCAGCAAAATGATTAGGTCACAAACACCAACAGGTATATAAGATACTGCAGGAGCTTCTAAGACCATAACACCTTTTCTCCTAAAGGACATAACATCAGGAAATCATGGCCTACCGAAAGAGAAATGGAAGCAAGAGTAGAACCAAGTCAACAGTTCCAAAGGCCAGAAAACACAGGGGAAGAGGTAATTCAATATATTTGGATTATACTAAATACAGATTATTGTATTACATGACTAGTGACATTCAGTAAGTAAAACTGTAGATGGAAGCTAATCTAAGAGTTTTCTTCGTTTCCACAGGGCAAAGACGTAGACACAACTATCACTACAAGAGTCGAAGATAAACAAAGACAATTCTGGTAGTTTTAAGGTTTCAAGGTTTCAAGGTTTTCCATTTCACGAACTCCGATGGCAAAATGCAGTAATGGAAACAGTCAGTGTACTACCAGTTGTGAATCCGCAGTAAGACCATGTCTACAATAAAAGCAGATAACTTCACATCATGTCTCTTTGGTACTTCTCTACCTGTGTTTTAGAAATAAATGTTAAGGCAACACTATAGTGTCAGGAATACAAACATGTATTCCCAACACTATAGCTCTATTAGCGCCATCTAGGTGGCCGGCTCCACTTTCTTTACAGTAAAAAAGGTGACACCTTTTACCAGCGTCCTCGTGACTAGCTCCACCCTTGCTCTGCTTCCTTGCCTGAGATGACCCATAGGAAAGCATTGGGAGACTATTGCACATGCGCAGCAAAACACTGTGCTGAGCCAGTAAGCATCTCCTCATTGAAATGCATTGAATCAATGCATCTGTATGGGAAACTTTCAGTGCC